GGAGATGACTCTTATGAAACAGGGACAAACATACAGTCAGGAGATGACTCTTATGAAACAGGGACAAACACACAGTCAGGAGATGACTCTTATGAAACAGGGACAAACATACAGTCAGGAGATGACTTATGAAACAGGGACCAACATACAGTCACGAGATGACTTATGAAACAGAGACAAACATACAGTCAGGAGATGGCTATTATGAAACAAGGACCAACATACAGTCACGAGATGACTTATGAAACAGGGACAAACATACAGTCACGAGATGGCTATTATGAAACAAGGACCAACATACAGTCACGAGATGACTTATGAAACAAGGACCAACATACAGTCACGAGATGACTAATGAAACAGGGACGAACATGTTCTGTCTATTATGAAGTAGGTGACAGAGATCTCTGTGATTATAACACATTCAAGTCCAATAAGTTACCGTAAAATATTTATTTACCCTCTTCCATGATCCAGGTGTAAAGGAAAACTGTCATTTCCAAATATTTTAAAAGTTTCATAATGATGCCTGTCCATGTTTCCTAGGTGATAAAATAGAATTATTTATCACCCAAATTAGGAAGACTCTAGCAGTAAAGTTAAAAAATAATCAAGATACAGATTTGTATCTGTTAGGTTAACACGAAATATTAATAATAAACAACACGTCTACATCACCAAGATAAAAAAAAACATATAACTGCATATACATTTCGGATATTAACTCTTAAGATATTAATTTTTATCTAAAAATCTAAATTACTGAATATTAACACGATTTAAAAGTTTACGTTTTCAAGATACAAAAGTGTTTTATAGTTTAATATACCGTTAGATACTGACTCAATATACCGTTAGATACTGACTCAATATACCGTTAGATACTGACTCAATATACCGTTAGATACTGACTCAATATAACGTTAGATACTGACTCAAATGTCAATTACTCTAGATAAACCACAACATAACACCAGGCAACGAATTAAACAAAGTTTCCTTTAAATATTGATATTAATATCACTAGTTGTTGTGTTATTTATTTTACGTAGAAAATGAATGGTTTCATCAATTTTTTTATTAGTTCCGTACGGGGAACGGCGTAACGGACAAAAAATAAAATAAAAAACCCGTAAAACTTACCGAATATGATGCCCCTACCGGTAGTGAATTAAAACTAGTCGGTAAGTTTAAACTTATTACCGGATTACATTTTTTAAAATCACGGTAATTATTTTCGCTCCTGGATTATTAGAAACGATTGTTTGTCTGTCAGTCAGTAGACACTAAAATATAATAATAATAATAAACGATAATGTTATAAGAAAAGATTTTAAAACCAATACGATATAACATCAGACCATCAAATAGGGAAGAACAGTTACATCTGGATATTTTCATGGTAACAGTTGTTACCAGTGTCCGAATCGAGTCACAGGTGACTGTACCACTGTTCGAAACAAGCCACGTGTGACCGTAGCAGTGTTCGAATCAGGCAACGTGTGACTGTACCACTGTTCGAAACAAGCCACGTGTGACTGTAGCAGTGTTCGAATCAGGCAACGTATGACTGTACCAGTGTTCGAATCGA